CCGATCACATGACCTGTTTCTCCTCCGATCACATGACCTGTTTCTCCTCCGATCAAGTTTCTAATTGATGAAGTGATGAAGACCTTCAGAGAGTTCTCTCAGAGAAAACGGTTTGACTGCAACGGAACAAACAGCAGGAGAGAACACCATCACTGGAACGCCGTCACTAGAGCGCCAGCATAGGAATCATTGGAACGGCAATTATATTCCATAAATACTTTTATCAAATATAATATTTTTAATAATTGCTTTCATTATTTTCCAAAGCATTCTGGTCTTTTAGAATAGATGAACGCTGTTTGATTAGGAAGCATGCCGTCCAATAATTAGTGATTGATTGTGCTATTTATAGGACATGTTTATTGTTGCTGCAAGATGTTGCAGATCGTTCCCTTCAGAAGTACGTTTTTTTACTTTTGACATAATGCTGCTTCACCTTCTTCATTCTGGACTTTATTCTCTCAACTCTTCGTTTGTTTGTGTCCTAAACGGAGTTTATCTGCTGATAAAGATCAACTGTCACATGTTCTCAGTTCACGAGGACGAGATTCATCGATTCTGCTCTTTCAGAACACGTGTGCTGTCTGACGGACTGGCTTCAGGACCTTTTTTATAAACACACTTGTGTTGCTGAATGAGCTCCATTGAGAGTTGTGTGAGTGAACTCTGTGTGACCCTCTCGTGGTTTCATTCCTCACTTCTAGATGATGACCTCGTCCTCTGACAGCAGTGATTAACAGTCAACGTGATGTTGGAGCCGTGATGTTTTCCAGGTGTATTTCCTGAACATCCTGACCTGTCAACCGCAGCACATGGCTCTCTTTAAGCCTTCTAATGAGACGTCGAGTGACGCCTCACATGCTCGTCCTCTGCTAATTTCAACTTTTAACGCACAGCTGCAGATGCGCTGAGTATCTCAGGATCAGTTTATTTATGGTCAGCAGAAGCTCATTTCTGTCAGGTCATAAATAGATGAACAGTTAGACATGATAAGAATACAAATAGCTTTAAAAGAGAACAGTTTGAGGAGTTTCTAAAGCCGTCTGCTGGTGACCTCGTTGGTTTAGGTCACGTTGTGTTAAAGTGAATCGTCATCTCTGAAGGAGGAGCTGCTGTGCAGATGTTGAGATGTTGAGGCCTCCACCCAGAGACAGATGTGTGTTTTGACCTCTCTCTATTCTGCACACATCCACATTTATTTCTTCATCCGAGGGGCCCCTCCGAGCCCTCGGGCCTCATTACGTAACGCTGCTCCTCCTCAGAGCCCGAATCCGTCTCCCACAGCGACAATAACCCCCCGACTTTCTGTTCTATGGAGATGAATCTTTGGCTCTAAATGGTCCGTTTACACTGGGCATGTTCCAGAGAGAGAGAGAGAGAGATCCTCCACCAGGACCGACTGCATCTCCGTCGGCCTCTCTGGACCTCATAGACAGAGGCTCGCTGTGAGGTCGGCAGAGACAGGATGAAGAAGACTTTACTCAGAGACAGGATGAAGAAGACTTTACTCAGAGACAGGATGAAGAAGACTTTACTCAGAGACAGGATGAAGAAGACTTTACTCAGAGACATGTGAAACATTCTCCTCCATCTGTAGAAGAACACACGGAGACCAACATATTTATTGTGTTGAAACTCTTTTCAGAGTCATAAAGTTCATGATTTTCCTCTTTTATAATCAGAGTTCTGACAGCTCTGTCTGTCATCACCCATCTGAATATGTAAATGTGTGTGTGTGTGTGTGTGTGTGTGTGTGTGGTCATGATCAGCTGCACACTGAGCTCCTGTAACATGCAGCACAGCGCTGGTATTTACTTCTGGAGCCAGCGTTTCTCTCTTTCTGTTCTTGGGACGTGACTGGAAACCCTCCAAGGACACGGTGTGCAGCAACGTGCCAACAGCCTCCGCGCTCTCGCCAGCAGAGCTCTTTCAGACACAAAAGGAACAAACAGAACAGTGAGTACCGCCAGGGATCAGGTTGTAGGTGCCGGGACTTCTGGGAAACATGGGGCGAGTTGCGGGTAATGTGACCTTATCCCCACGGCGGCTGGTTTCTGAGGGACCCTTCTGAGAAAACATACGTGGGCACGATGGCCTCTGCTCTCTGTTTCTCTGCACGGTGTCGAGCTCTGACATTCAGTTCTCAGGATTGTTCATCATTTCATTCAATAAAGTTAAATAATAAAACTGAAGATGGAGAAAGCTCTCTGAGCTAACAAGCTTGCTAACTGACAGTTAGCTCATTTGCTAACGGTACAATAACTCTTTTAAAAGCTCTTCGATGTCTCAATTTAATTCATCTCCATTGATCTGTGATTGATGGGTTTCTGTACGCTGAGCAGTGTTATTACAGCGTTGAGGCAATAAATTACAACAATGTTTTCGTTGTCTCTATTTGTGCTGACTGATGAATGTGACCGAGAACTGATGCCGGATCAGTCTCTGTCCAAACCTGCCCGCTATCCAAACAACTGCTGGGCAATGAGCCAATCAGAGCTGCAGCAGGAGGACGAGGATGATGATGTCATAGTCTGCTCTGTTTTCACTCCAAACAGGTGAAAAGTGATCTGAGATTAAGAGTCAGGACATCGATCCAATCCGCTGCTCTGGAGCTGCAGAGGATGTTACGCGCTGACATGGGATCAAATCCTAGGAAATTGGAACATTTATATAGATAATACATGACCAACCAAGATTTTGATTCTTAGTCGTGGACCCAGTTATCATACTTTCAAATCAGATAATAATGGAGGCGACCGTTGTTACTGGGTAGAGAGGGTTGTCCGCCAACCGAAAGGTCACCGGTTTGATCCTCAGCTGCACCGTGTCCTGTGTCGAAGTCTCCCTGAGCAAGACACTGAACCCATAACTGCTCCCTGGGCGCCTGTCATTGGCAGCCCACTGCTCCCAATATATACAGGGATGGGTCAAATGCAGACAATAATTTCCCCACTGTGGGACTAATAAAGGAATGTTTCTTAATCTACTGTTAAAATCTCTGTTTATGGCTGCTTTATTAACTGGACATTTTTCACAGAATTAATAATTTTCTCGTGTCAAAATCAATTTTTAAGATCTTAACCAGGGTCATGGTTTTGGGGGGGCACCGTCTCCTTCAGTTGTAGATGAAGTAAATGGCGGTGTTCGTTGACTTTACTTGTGTGGTGATTCTATTGACAGGAGTTTGAGTGCAGCTCAGTCTGTGGTCCTGACCTCACCAGGTGATAATGAGTCGGTCCTTGTGTCCCTGCAGGATGTGACTCTGGTTTTGGGAACGCGACGGCGAAGCATCTGGACGCTCTTGGCTTCGAGGTGTTCGCCACAGTGTTGGACCTGTCGGGAGACGGAGCCAGAGATCTGCAGAGGACCTGCTCCCCCCACCTCACCCTCCTCCAGGTGGACATCACCCAGCCACAGCAGGTCCAACAGGCCCTGCTGGCCACCAAGGCCAAGCTGGGCCTCAAAGGTAATGACCGTCTGCTGAAGCCAAACCACAGCTTGTTCTGGGACCAGATGGCTGTTTCATTTAAACGCTCTGTGGTGGTGCTCACTGTTTACAGCATCAGTGTGTTTTACTGTTTACAAGAATACATAATGACTTTCTAGGAAATCACTGAACTGAAGCAGAAGAGACGGGATGGAAACAACTAAATCACTCTTGAGTTGATTTAAGAGGAGTGACTGAGGAGTACATACGAGGACAATCTGAGGAATACATGAGGGGTATATGAGGAGTAACTGAGGACTTATAACAATACAGTAAACTGAAACAAAACAAAACAAGGTAATAAACACACTATAACTCTGCCCAGACACAAGCCTCTTACTGTGAGAGGACTTCGTAGCGGTCGATGTGGTTCTTCGAGTTTCTTGGTTAAACTCGGAGTCCGGAGCTTCAACCTGTGCGGTGTTAAACCCTTCGTATGCAAGTGGGGATTTCTCGGAAGTTAAGGGGATTCTCATCCTTAGGACTGGCAAAATGTCGATGTTAACGGGGAGAGAACGTGGCATAGAAGTTATCCGTTCTCTCCTTCGGTCTATTGTTTGTCCAGCGAAGTTAAGACTATGATCTAGGGTTTCTTCAAAAGCAACGTTGTTTCTGAACCTCCTTCCACCAACTCAGGTCTGACGGGACGGCCCAGAGCTGGAGGTGACGCAGAGTTTTATAGATTCTGTGACATCAGGTCGCAGCACAGGGAATCCCAGTGGAGCCTGTGGTCGTTGTCCAATGACTCATTGGCAATGAGATAGTGTTGAGTTTGTGTGTGTGTGTGTGTGTGTGTGTGTTCGGCAGGTCTGTGGGGTTTGGTGAACAACGCCGGCGTGTGCGTGAACTTCGGAGACGTCGAGCTTTCGCTGATGTCAAACTTCCGCGGCTGCATGGACGTCAACTTCTTCGGCACGCTGAGCGTCACCAAGAGCTTCCTGCCGCTGCTGCGACAGGCCAAAGGTCGCATCGTCACCATCTCCAGCCCCGCCGGTGTGTTCCCGACACAAACACACGCGCACACACATACACACATACACACACACACCACTACAGCATGAGTAAATCAGACATTATGAAATAAAAAAAACACATATAATAATCATATAAATCAACCAATAATTGAGTAAGTGGTCGGTCACCTCACAGGAAGTGGATGTAGTCATCATGACGTCTCTCGTTGGTTTGTGGACTGCTGTTATGAAGCCTCGATTTCAGAGATTTTGTCTGTCGCAATCTTATGTTCGTTATGTAACCAGAAAAGAGGAAGTGACCACATCTGGACTGAGGAGGAGTGACGTAGAGACGCCATATACGTCTCTGGTAGAGACCTGTCAATCACTGTGGAGCCCCGCCCTAAAGCATCCCCTGCTTTATGGTCTGTGTGACTCTAAATGGACCATAATGTACTAAATGAACATCATGCTGTATTGAAGAAGACTTGAAACTAGAGATTGAGACCATAAACTCATGTTTACAATGTTTACTGAGGTAATAAATCAAGAGAGAAGTAGAGTCATTTTCTCATAGACTTCTATACAACCAGAGGAGTCGCCCCCTGGTGGACACTAGAGAGAATGCAGCTTTAAGACTTGAAGCTCATTGGTCAGTGTGTGTGTGATGTCATGGTGATGTCGTGATGATGTCATACCTGTGTTTTCAGGTGACCAGCCGTTTCCCTGTCTGGCAGCGTACGGAGCATCTAAAGCAGCTCTCAACCTCCTGATCAACACTCTGAGACATGAGCTGGAGCCTTGGGGGGTCCAAGTGTCCACCATCCTACCGTCCTCCTTCAAGACAGGTAACACCACCCACATCTACACCACCACCTCTACACCACATCTACACCACGACCTCTACACCGCCACATCTACACCACCACCTCTACACCACATCTACACCACCACCTCTACACCACATCTACACCACCACAT